AAAAAAAAAAAAAAAAAAAAAAAGTACGCATTTATTCTTACATGTTTAAACTTCAGTCACCTTCAAAGTACTCTCCGTTGAATGCAGTGTACCTCTTGAGATGCTTTTTCCACTGTTCAAAACAGTTTTCAAACAGGTCAATTTTCTTTTTGAGTCGGAGTCTCATTCCGACTGCTGGAGTGCAGTGGCACGCTCATGGCCACCACAGCCTCGACCTGCTGGGTTCAGGCGATCCTTCCACCTCTGCCTTCCAAGTAGCTAGAACTATAGGTGTGCACTACCACACCCGGCTTATTTTTTTTTATTTATTGTAGAGACAAGGTCTCACCAGTTGCCCAGGCTGGTCTCGAACCCCTGAGTTCAGGCGATCCTCTTGCCTCGGCCTCCCAAAGTGCTGGGATGACAGGCTCGAGCCATTGCACCTAGCCCTAACTCGTCAATTTTGATGCCCTTTAGTGCTTCTGTCATTTTTTGTTTCACCTCTTCCACGTCAGCAAAATATTTCCCTTTGGGGACTTTTTTCATCTGGGGAAACTAAAAGTCCCTTGGCGGCAAGATGGGGTAAACAGGGAGGATGAGTCATGAGAGGTCATGGCATTTTTGGCCAAAAACCACTGAACACTCAGAGGAGTGTAGGCAGGTGTACTCAAAAATCACCCATCATGTACAGATGCGTTGAAAGAATCTCCCAAATAAAAAAATTCACTGAAGCTGAACACAGCCCCTGACAACATTAGCTGCTACACTGACACAGATGGGTTCCTATAACACTTACCTAGCAGGGAAAGCATACTACAGGGGCCCGCACTCCAAAGGATAATTCCAGGTTTTTGGGGTCCCCCCTCGTGTACCTAAGAAAAATGAATGTATATGTCAACCAAGACATATATACAAGAATGTTAAACCAGGAACAGAGTCTCACGCTTGTAGTCCCAGCTACTTGGGAGGCTGAGGCAGGAGAATCACTTGAGCCCAGGAGTCTGAGACCAGTCCTTGAAATACAGCAAGACCCCATCTCAAAAAAAGATCCACTTTTTTTTATTCAAAATAGTTCAAAAGTGGAAATAACACAAATTTCCATTAAAAGAAAAAAGTGTCTGCCACTGCTAAATCTTCTACATATATTATTTTATTTAATCCCCAGAACAATCCTATGACATTAATAAGAAATCACACCATTTTTAAAAATAAGGAAACAAAGACTTATAAAGGCTCAGCATCTTGCCCAACAATTCCTGGAGATAAGCTTAAAAAGATCTTTAGGAGCCAGGCTTGGTGGCTCAGGCTGTAATCCCGCGCCTTTGGGAGGCTGAGGTGAGTGGAT